CATGGACTGTAGCCTACCAGGCTCCTCCATCCATGGAATTTTCCAGGCAAGAATACTGGAGTGGGTTGCCATTTCCTTCTCCAGGGGATCTTCCCGACCAAGGGATCAAATCCAGGTCTCCCACACTGCAGCAGATACTTTACCATCTGAGCCACCTGGGAAGCCCTCTTTCTTTTCTTACTTTCAAACTTTCTCTCTGAGGCTCCTCACCTTCTGAAGTTTAATTTATCCACCACTGACTGTGTCTTACTAAGCGCCTGGTGCTGAGAATGCAAAAATAAATAAGACAAGGTTCCTTATGTTGCAGAAGACTTTGGCCTGGGGAGAATGGTGGTAATAGTGGTAATATTAGTAATGACAACAACAGTACAATGGCAGGACCATTTAAGGAGCACTTATTATGTGCTGGGCATTTATGAACCCAAAGTCATTAAAAGCTCGGTAGAACAACAAGGTTGTCATTCTTCTTGCTCCCATTATAAGTGAGGAAACTGAGGCTCAGAGAAGTGAAATCATTTGCTGAGCTGGTATGTGGCAGAGTTGGAACTTGAGTCCAGGTCTCTGGGTCTCTAAAGCCATGTTTATAACCACGGCATTATCCCACTAGGCCCAGAAAAGTACCCCTTACCCCATGTGAAGGAAAGTCACTATCCAATTAAAACTATGACTTGGGGGGTCCTTAATTGGACCTACCATAGAAGGAATGAGAAACAAAGATAATATCAGTCTATACCATAGGATGCAGGATGCAAGCTGCAGCCAGAGACTATGCCAACCTAAGAATGTGGGCAAAGGAGGGCTGGGCCAGGATGCTGCACACACTGGCCAGCCAGCCCCTTCCTTCCTCTCAGGACCCTTCCCATTCATTGCATCCACAGGGGATGTTTTTCTAAGGTGTGAGATACAGGAGTGACTGCCCAGCGGTGACCAGAGGCCTCAGGAAGATACTCTGAGGATGAGCACCCTAGACTCGGTGCTCTTGTGCTTAATTTTTTGGACAGAGGTAAGATGTGTACTTGATGTTGAGTTTACAGCAGACTGATAAGTCATGCTCAGGCTCCATAAGTCATGTTGGGCTCTACTGTCTAGTAAACCAAAGATGATCACTCATGAATAATGCGGGTGTGATATTGTGAAATGTGATGGTTCATGGGCTGAGGGGTGACTCATTCCTGAAGGTCTCAAGTCAGACCAATGTTATTTCCTTTGGCTTCCCTTGGCCCTCACCCAGACTCTCTTAAACACCTGCCTCGGTTGCTGAATCAGGGATGCATGCTCTGGTTGGTGGTCGAGAGCAGACCTGAGACCAGTTACAGAAAGAAGAGGAGATGAGATGATGTTACTGGAGCAAGACTTTCCCGAAAGGCTTGTGGATTTAAGGAGGAGAAGGAGGCCTGGTCCAGGTGACAGGGCGTAGATTCTGGGCCCACAGAGAGAAAGGGGTGCAGTGTTTTGGCTGAAGCCAAGAAAGTTCAGAGAGAAACATAGAAAATAAGATTCCTGAGCACGATTGGATTTTTCTTTTCTTTCCCTCTCTACTCTTCTCATGAGTTGGATGGAGGAGAAACAAAGCTGGAACAAGCCTCAGGATAAAGGCTGGGGATTTCTGCCTGCATTGCAGTTGCCTCCAAGGGAGACCTGGCCAAGTGGAACCTGGGGCAGCCTGTGTGGGGCCTCCTATGGCTCAAGGGCATGCTAACACTCCTGGAAGACCAGAGCAGGGGGTCCTTCCTTCTGGGGAAGCTTCCCAAGGGTGGAGTCTTCCCGCTCTCCCTTCCTTCCTCACACCTTCAATAGCATCCTGAGCTTTGGACAGACTAAGTAAATGCTCATTGAGGAGAAAAAGCCCAAAAGAGGGTGTGGAGAAAGACTCTGGGAGCTGGAGATGTCCCTGAAATCAAGTGAGGAAGCCAAGACTTAAGAGGGGCATTTCACAGAGCAGGTCCAAGCGGAAGGCGCCAGGCCACACACAGCGCTCCTGTTTTGGTTCAAGATGCCTCCTGGCTTTAAGCCAACCCAAGATACACAGCAGTTATCCAAATTATCCAGATTATATGAACACACTGCACAAAGACTGACCCCTCCTGGGACCTCTAAAATCATTACTTGAATAGTACCATTTTAACTCCAATAGTTCTGGGGGAACATATCTATTGTATGAAGCCTGTTGTTTGCATGTGAAATGTACAAATGACAGGTTATTCAACTCCTGAATCTTGAGGAAAATGATAAAGATGAAGGTTCAGAACCATGCTCTGATCTTTGTTTTGTTCCCCAGCTCTGTGATTTCAGAAGTCCTGTGCCCAGGACAATGCAATCTGCTGAGAGCCTGGGCTTCTGGGTTGCCTGGGCTGCAGATATGAGCTGCAGCAACTGGAGTCCTGCTACTTATGGCTTGCTTGGTCAGGGCTGGGCAGTTTTCTCCCCTTGAAACAGGAAGCTAAAATGATGGCTGGGTGGGCTTCCCTGCTTTATGGCACCAGCCCTGGTATCACAAGATGTGGCACTGGAAGGGGCTTAGAGGATCCCTCCCAGGAGTTCCTTCTATAAAATTCCAAAGGCTGCTCTGTGGGGTCCTGGAACATGGGTGGTATTTTCAATCTCAGTGCCCCTGCATCCTCCTCACCTTATCTGCACACTTTGCCAGGCCTTCTGTAGTTTGCTCCAAACTTTCTCTGTCTTCTTCACCTCTTTCTGGGGAGAGAGAAGTTTCCCCTCATATGTTCTACGAGCTCCCCAGCTCAGGATGCAATGATGGGTGCGTTCTATAGCAAGGCTTCCAGGAGAAGAGCTTGTCTCTCTTCTCTGGTGGAATTGGATACACAAAGGCAGGGTCTGAGCCCGTGTAGCCTACAAAGAAGCTAGTGGTGAGGGTGATGGGGGTGTACCGCATCTCTACCTCCTTCAGTCTCCTCCTTGGGTTTTATGTGCTCTGATGCTCAGCCACAACTTCCAGATCCCTTGGCCTGGAGCTGATCACCAGCTCGTCCCTGCCCTTCCAGGCTCATCTCCCCACACCTCCCTCCTCCATCCACATTCTGTGTGCTGGCTCCACTGGCTGCCTGACAGCAGCACCTGGGGTGGCCCAGGGAACCTCCATGCCTTTGTACCTGCTGCTCCCTCTGCCTGGAATATGCTTGTTTCTCTGATAAGCTCCCATTCCTCTTTCAAACTCAAGTCAGATCTCCCCCTATCTGGAGTCTTCCCTGGCTCCCCCCAGGAGTCAAGTGAGCTCATTGCGAGTCACGAGCTTCTTTTCGAAAAGGAAGGTTAATCTACTCACAGGGTGATTAATGATTGGCTCTGTTGTCTAATTCCCCTGCACCAAAGTCAGGAGCTCCTGCTGCATATGGACAGCAGGCACTCCACAAAGGCCACTGGGTCAATGAATGAATGAATGAGAACCAGAAACAGACATATATCCTTTAAGGGGAAACCTGCCTCCAGGAACCTGACTCAGGATGTCCTCTCCAGAGGCTGCTTTTCAGGGGCTGCTTCTCCACCTCCTGTCCTCAGAGCTAAGTGAGGAGCTCCTCCAGCTGGGGGCCACCTGCCCAGCCTCCTCCAAGGACTTCTTCACTGCAGTTCACCTGTGGCTTTTCTGGTCAGTCCAGTGAGAGACTTGCACATTTGGTGGTGACTTCAAGCCTGAGAATGCCTGGGACTCAGGTCTGGATAGAATAGAAGAAAGGTGAAACTTAGACTCTCCAGTGAAACTGGAGAGAGTTTGCTGAGGGTGGGGGTGGGGGTTGCAGCACAAACAGGCAGGAAAGAAAGGTTCCGGGGTTTGGGGGTGATTCCTTTGGGAGGCAGGAAATAATAAGGACAGTTTATTGAGCTGAGTGTGGGTGGGAGGGGGCTGTGGGAGAGAGTGAGTACCCTGTGTGAGGGTGCATGTGGAAGGAAGGGTGTGGGCGAGCTTCCACTGTGAGAGGGTAGGAGGGAGCAGGAATGTGTGTGACTCAGTGGCCCAGCTGGTACAGCAGCAGAACCGTAAGTGCCTGCAAAGGTTCACTGTGAGAGCTGGAGGGAAAAATTAATCAGGCACACACAGGGACAAGGGTCACATCAGAGGGGCAGAATCACTGGGGTGTGAGCGCCCCCCACTTGGAACGGCTAACTCAGGCCAGAGGCTGTTCAGCTCTCAGGCTGGGTCTCCAGAAAAGACCAAGGAAGCAGGAAACAGACATGGGGACTTGGCCCATGTCAGGAGTGGTTCTGTTCACTCTCCGTTTCTTTACAACACAGCCTTCAGAGGACGTGAGGGATCTGGGGCTCAGGCTAGTCCCCAAGCTGCTGAGGCGTGCTTGTTTCCTTACCTGCTCCCTGTCCCCCAGCAGCTGATATACTAATAGCCTTCAGCATCGCAGGAGGGGGTGGACGGGGATCCATTTGTTTTTCCAGAGTTTGACCTCTGGGTAAAACTCTTCCCCAAAATGTGCCAGTTTAAGTGAAAGCGATAAATCAATCCCTTTGAAATGCAGAAGCAGCTTGGGGAAGCCCCCTTTGATATGCAGCTTGGAAACGGGGGCACTTAAAACCCGGGTTAATTCTCCCGCTTTATTGGAGGCAGAGAAAAGGAAAGAGGAGGAAACCCAGGGCCAGTCATTAAGTCTGGGCACTTGAAAAAGCCTGGGGCAGGGGCCGGGCGGCGCGAAAGGATCACGAAGGCGCGACAGCCCTGGGAAAAGCATCCGCGGGCCCGGACTAACTCTAATCCCGGTTCCCACCCAGACAGATGAGAGCGGAGGGCGCAGGGAAGGAGGGGCGGGCAGGACCGGGAGAGGCTCCTGAGGGAAGGGGAGGCGGTTGCTATGGAGACGGAGCAAGCTCTCCGGGAAGAGAAAGCCAAGGGCCAGCCTGGCAATTTCCTGAAAGGAGCTGAGAATTCAAGAGAGTGTGTGTCCCATTCACTAGCCGGCTCCTGCTTTCAGAGGCCCGGAGGCGGCTCCTCCATGGGAGCCAGAGCCACACGGCTTTCCTGTTCTCCCCCGGGGGCCTTAGTCTGGGCCCTTCATTGGAAACATCTGCTCCTCGAAGAACTCCTCGGTGCAGGGCACAGGGCAGCGGAGGAATAGTGCCCGAGGGCTATTTTCAGCCGTCTTCCTCCATCCCATTCGAGGAACGGAGTCAAGGCTAGGTGTGGAGACACCAGAGGCCCCCCAAGGCCCCTTGGCGCTGGTGGGGTGATCTTGCAGCCTGGATTTCAGGATGGTGCCCACTATTAGCCCTACAGGTGACAAGTCCGAGTCTTTTCGGGCAGATCGTTCCAGCTGTGGACCTGGCACAGCGGCCCCAGTAACTGTGCTCTGTCTCCGGTTCCCTGGAGCCTCTGAACATAGTCCCCACTCCTGGCGACCAGCGATGTCCCCTCCACACAGCGAGTGGCCTGGATGATGGGTGGGGGCATAAACTGGGTGACGCTTTGGTTGCAGCCTGTCCACATTGCTCTGCTGGGGCTGTTTTTTTGTTTTGATTTTTAAGGGGAGGTAAGTTGGGTGGAGGATGGGAGCTGAGAAAGTAGAAACTTGGGCTTCGAAGGTTTGCTGCTCCCATCCAGAGAGGCCAGGGCAGAGGACACCTCACACACAAGCTCTTGTCACCCCAACCCTGCTCTGACCTTGCTTGGAGTGTTGAATTCTGGGGAGTACATTTCCCCACAGTTGGGCTGGCCTTCCACCCTGCACTGGTTTTGGCTCAGTGGGTCAGGGTTCACATACACAGACCCTCAGGGTAAGCTTAGCTGCCGGTCACAGGAGACAGTTCCTGGGCCCCCGACACACTTCCCTCCCCATCCTTCCTCTTGGGAATCTGTGCCCTCATCTGCTTGGAGGAGCTTCGCTTCCACCTTGGACTCCAGCCCACCTTGTACTGAGCAGGGCCTCCCAGGTCTTCCCAGTTCTCCCAAAGCCTTTGCCTGTGTCAAGACCACATGCTGACCATTGCATGGCTCAGTAGTCCCAGACAAGGAGTCAACCAAACAAATCACAGAAGTAAGTCCTTTCAGGTTCTTTTAACTCAGGGAGCCCCTGAAAGGCAAGGGCAAGGCAGAGATTCTTTTGTTTGCCACCCCCATCCCCAGGGGAGGAGAGAGAGGAGGGGCAGAGGACCCCCAGTGAGCCCAGCTTCCCGTAGAGCTGCTGCCACCTCTAGTCCCTCTGCTGTCCTGGGGGGCTCGGAGGAGGGAGGCTGCCCTGTGCTGTATCACACCTGGCTCATCTAGGCTCCAGGTTTATGAAGTTAAACAGAGAGCATCTCCCTGGAGCAAAGGCAGCAGGAGCTGGGTGACACCAACCCAGCTCCGTGGTCTTCTAGAAGCCCAAGAAGCCCAAGCCATGGTCTTCCAGAAGCACCATTTGTTCTCTTTTCCATTCTCTCTGATTTCAGGGAAGGTGGGGTTTTGGAAAGGGGGTGGGAGTCAGGTTCAGAGACTGCTGGCCTGGATGCAGGGGGATGAAGGAACAGGGGCAGGTCAACGGAGACACAGTCCACCAATGGCCCCAGAGAGAAAAGATGATGGTTGGAAAAGGAGGAGGTGTGGGGCACAGGGTCTAGAGAGAGGAAAGGCACAGAAGAAAGGCAGGCCACCTTGGCCCTGGAGTGTCAGAGCCAATCCTGGGGCAAAGTAAGTGAAGGCCAAACTCAAGGTGTCCGAGATGTTATCGGGAAAAGATCTGTGATGGTGGTGGGAGAGAGAGAGGGGTGTGTGTGTGTGTGTGCAGCAGAATAGGAGGAGCCTGTGTATACACACACACACACACACACACACACAGAGCTATAGGGTAGGCCTGTGCCAGAAACTGCTACATTCCTCTTAACCCCAAAGCCAGCCCTCTTTCCAAAATGCTTTCTCATTATTTGCAGGCATATTTTCCCCCCACCGTGCTCTGCTCTTGTTTCTATATTGCTATATGCTTGCTGCGGTGGAGACCCTTTCTTCCCTGCTCTGTAATGCGACTGTAAAACACCTGCATTTTATTAATGCTGCCTGGAATGGGGTGGGCTGGGCCCCTCTGCATGCCCCCTCAGTGAAGCAAAGCACGTGGGTTAACCCTGTGTGGTTGGGTCTCTGTCCTGGAGATGTGAGTATCCATGAGTGGTGCAGAAATTGCAGAAGACATGGAGTTCCTTGGGACTTCTAGACAGATGGGCAGGCATTCTGGGATCTCCCCTGACTCCGCACTTCCCTTGCCTGGCACTTTTGGCCCCTTCCTCTTACCACTGTTCCTCAGTTTCCCTTTCCAGAATGCGAGGACACCATTCTGTCTTGAAAGGAATCCTTGCAAAGTTCTAAGAGAAACTCTTCTAAAGGCTGGCCCTTTAAGCAACTGTTCCATTCTTTAGGAGCCAGTGGGACTAAACCGTTCCAGAAAAATAGCTCCTTTCCCCTTTAAAATATTTTAAATAAGGAAAGTGTACAGAATGTAAAAATGCCTCATAATCCTATCACCTGAGAGTCCTGTTAGCATTTTTTTTAATACAGTGCATGTACATGGCTTAAAAGAAAAAGAGCATAGGAAGGTATATTATGAAACTTAAGTTTCTCTTCTCTTAGACCATAGCTATTCCTCCCCAAGGTAATGATTGCTAACAGTTCCTTGTGTATTCTTCAGGGAAAGAATTTATATGTATGCTGACATCTTTTTTTAATTAAAAATAAGTCTAGAATTCTTGCCATATCAGCACATGGAGACCCCTTTCATTCTTTTTAATAGTTGCATATTAATTTGTCATGTGACTATACCATAGTTTATTTAACAGTGTCCTAGTGATGGGCACAGAGGCTATTTCCATCTTATAGCCTTACAAACATCGTTGCCATGAGGATCTTTGGTCATATGCCTTGGGTGTATGTATGTGAGTATATCTTCAGGGAAGTTCTTACCAGCACAATACAGGGTCAAAGGACATGCTCTTTTAACATGTCTTTGTCTACTCTTTTTTTTTTTTTTTTCTAAAAAAAGGTTATTTCTTTTCCTGCCCCTTTTCATTTTTTTTTTAACCAGGCAAACTCCTAGTTATCTGTCAGAACCTACCCAACTCAAATTTCCTGTCCTCCCTGAAGCCTTCCCAGATTGAACCAGGAACCCACTGGCTCCCTCCTCCATGCTTCCTTAGCCCTCTTGCCTAAGCCTGATTGCAGTTTCCATCCTTCAAAGTGTCTGTTCTCTATACGGGATCATGATGTATGACATTTTTCCTGGGGCACGACGCTTTTTACAATTTTTCTTCATGCAATTCCACTTCTGGGTATGTAACCGAAAGAATTGAAAGCAGGGCAATTGAACAGATATTTGTACACCCCTGTCCATAGTAGCATTAGTCACAATAGTCAAAAGGTGAAATCAACCCACACATCCATCATGAGCGAACAGATAAAATGTGACATATACACACAATGGAATATTATTCATCCTTTAAAAGGAATGTAGTTCTGACACATGCTACAGTATGGTTGAAATGAAGATATTATGCCAAGTGAAATAAGCCAGTCATATAAAAATGACAAATATTGTATGTGATTCCACTAATATGAGGTACCTGGAGCAATCAGATTCATAGAGACAGAATGTAGAATGGTGGCTGCCAGGAGCTGGCGAGACAGAGAATGGGGAGATAGTGCTTCAGAGCTTCAGCTTGGAAAGATGAAAAATTTCTGTAGGTGAATGGCACAACAATGTGAATGCCGCTGAACTGTAAATTTTAAAATGGTTTAAGATGGTAAATTTAATGTTATGTCTATGTTACCACAACAAAAACTTTTTTTTTTGGTATGAAAATGTACCATCTTAAAGACTCAAAGTTCCTGGCAAGCTCTCTCCTTGGGTCGATGTAACCATCTCCTCACCTCAAGACAAGGCTGACCTATTCAGGATTGGAGAGTACTTATCCTATTTTCAGATATTTCCAGGGAAGGGAGCCCATTGCAGTGTTAGGCAATCTTTTCCAGTGTCTCGAAACCCCAGACATTCTTGGTACCAGACCTTTCCTGCTGCACCTGAAGTTAATTTTTCCTCGGTCAGTAAGTGCTTTGTCAGGCCCTCACTCTTCATACATTCGAAGGCTCTGGTTACATTATCCCCCAGCATCAGGGCTGAGGGCACCACGGCATAACCTGCTGAGTGGACCCTGAGGGCCTTATGAGACTGCTCGCTTCTCCCCAGCATGACGGACCGACGTTGCTGGGCTTGATTCCTAAGCATAATACTGGAGCACAGGACTCCTCGGCCCTGGCAGGTAAAAGAGATACCCCCTTCCCATCTCTCACCTCATTTGGGGTGTGTGTGTGTGTGTGTGTGTGTGTGTGTTACTTAGAGCTTTTCCCTTTTGGATCTCCAGCTGCATCTTCTGTTGAAGTCCTTTGGCTGACAGGATAGACTTCCCCAAAGGACGGGGTTTGAGTAGTTGAGTCATTTCAACAGCCCCCTGAGACTCTCCTCTGACCAGAGATTGCTTTGTGTCTTCATCAGCTGCTTGGAAGGTGTGCCTGGCAAACTTGTTCCCCACAGCCTGGAAGATGCTGACTTTTGTCAGCTTAGAAACATCAAAAGGTTAGTGAGAGAAGAATAGGCTGAGAAAGACCTCATCACCTGGGTGCCTGTCAACCGCAGGCTTGCAAAGCTGCAAGGCCTGGTGCAGCTGAGAAGCATTGTTGTTGGGAGCTGGAAGGAAGCGGAGGCTCCTCTGCTGCGAGGACCTGCCCCCAGCCCCCTTCCGGGGCAGAGAGACGGGAAGGGGTGAAGCTACCTGGCGGCCCCACGCTCAATGACTCAGATGTCACTGTCACCACAAAGGGAAATCCGTGGGGGGGCAGTGGGCACCTCCAGAGACCTCATTCACTTGCGATTCAGGGGACGAATCACATCCCCCTGTGTTCGCATGCCAGGCCTGACAACTAACGGAGCATTAGTCAATAGTCCTGTGCTGACGTTTCTGATTTCAAGTCTTGGTTTATATGAAGGACTGGCCTCAAGAAGGAGCTGAGCCTTGAGGAAGACAGCGGCCCTCAGGTACTTCCTGCCGCTAAAGCTGAGACAAGGAAGGGTCCCCACAACTCAGTCCAGGAACCAGGGCTTGATGTGGGCTAGCTTGTCCACATTACCTTCAACATGGTTTGTGCATCATTATGCCATCGTGGTCCTTTCCATGTGCCGATGAGCTGGAATGTCTAGTGGAGGGGATTCCAACTGTCCTGCTAGAACTGTCACTGTGGTCAAGGGGCTTCCCAAGTGGTCCTAGTGGTAAAGAACCTGCCTCCCAATGCAGAAGACATAATAGACGTGGGTTTGATCCCTCGGTCCTATTCCGAGGAATAGGCAAAATGGCAACCTTCTCCAGTATTCTTGCCTGGATAATCCCATGGTCAGAGGAGCCTGGTGGGTTACTGTCCATAAGGTCGCAAAGAGCTGGACTTGAGTGAAGCGACTTAGCATGCAAGCATGCAGGTGGCTAAGGGGCTGTCCTCTGTCCAGAAGCATTTTAGAAATGCTAGTATTAGTGTCTGCTTTTTAAAAAATTTCAGTGCATTTATTTTTTGTTGTATTTGCTCCTATCCCATCCCTCTGGAGCAGAGACATCACTTTGCCAACAAAGGTCCGTATACTCAAAGCTGTGTTTTTTCCAGTAGTCATGACCAGATGTAACAGTTGGACCATTAAGAAGCCTGAACGGCGAAGAATTGATGCTTTTGAATTGTGGTGCTGGAAAAGACCCCGGAGAGTCCCTTGGAGAGCAAGGAGATCACACCTAAAGGAAATCAACTCTGAATATTCATTGGAAAGACTGATGCTGAAGATGAAGCTCTAATACTTTGGCCACCTGATGCTAAGAGCTGACTCATTGGAAAAGACCTTGATACTGGGAAAGATTGAGGGCAGGAGGAGAGGGGGGCAACAGTGGATGAGATGGTCTGATGGCATCACTGACTCAATGGACATGAGTTTGAGCGAACTCTGGGAGATAGTGAAGGACAGGGAAGCCTGGCGTGCTGCAGTCCATGGGGTCGCAAAGAGTCGAACGTGACTTAGCCACTGAACAACAACAAAATCCCATCCCTCAACCCACAGAGTCACCCAGCCAAGGAGCGGGTTTCTGGAAACTCAAGAAATCACCTGCTGCAGCAGATACAGAAAAGGTTGCCCAGGTTTCACATGAAGAAAAAGGTTAAATCTATGTTCTCCACCTTGAAATTCCCAGCATCTTGCACATTACAGGCATATAGAGGCTCTGACTAATAGTTGATAGATCTCTAAGGGAGGGACAATAGCCACAGAGTTCACTTGAATTGCCTGAAATTCCACAGCAAACCAGCAGTGATATCAGGGAGGAAAATCTGCCCCTACCCCTCATAGACTGGTCCTCTGAAGGATACTGCTGCATCCTTTGAACAGCTTTAGGTGTCACCCAGGGGAAGCAGTGGTCAGGGCTGGGTCTCAAACCTCAGGACTGGCTTTGAGACTGTGTCTTGGACAGGAAGGGCAGGGCTCAAAGACCTGGAAGTGCTGATTTTGGTAACATCAGGGCCTTCCTGCAGCAGTTGACCTGGAGATTGACTTGGTCCTTGGAGTTGGAGATCCCTTGGCCCTAAATTGCCAAGCTGCCAAATTAGGACCCAGATCGCTAGAGGTGCTCCTGGAAAGGGTCTCCTCCCAGCTTGGCCCTGTGGAGCTGAGGCAGGGCTGGGCTCTCGCCTCTAGGCCAGGCTCCAGAGAGCCCAGAGCAAAAGCAGTACACCAGTCTGTTCCTCCCCTGTAGGCCTCTGTTCTCTTTCCCGAGGAGAAGACTTTCGGCTGTTCTTTTTTCTTTTGGTCCATTTGGTTCAGAAAGCCCATTCCCCGTGGACAACGTTGATGGGTCAGAATGTGAACAGGAGGGAAACTGTGACTTTCCAAGAGTGCCCTGTGCTTGGACTGACCATCCTATGTGTCCTGGTCCTGAGAACCCAGGGACCAAGGGCGTTGATACAGAGGCCCAGCGACTGAGCCAGGTTTTAGAACACGCTGGTTTGTCGTGCTTCCATTTGCCCAACAGGAGCCTTGCGCCTCCAGGGGGTTTGAAAAGCCAGTCCAGGAAAATTCCTGAGATTGTAGGCAGCTCTGGTCCTTTCCCAGCCCCTGATCTGCAGACTTCCCCAGAGTCAGAGTCCTGCCATACAAATTCTTGTTCATTCTGTAGCCCACATAGCCTAGGGCACCGTGGAGGCTGGAGACAAGGGTGATTTCGCTGAGGCCATCAGAAAAGCTTCTGTAGCTTGCTTGGCCACTGACTGGGCCCATGGCATGCTCACGAAACTGGTGTGGGTCATCACAGGTTCCCTGTGGGACACTTAGCTCACCCCCTTAGTCTACCAGAGGCCTGCTTCAATGTCCCTGTCCTTTTCCTGTTCATTTTCCCTTTCCCCCCATGGCTGTCCTCTTCCTCCCCTCTTCTCTCTAAGCTCTCAGCACTGCATAACCGCCCGGACTTGGAGACCCGGAACAGCTCACAGACCCAGCTCTTTTCAAGCCGGCTCCATCATTGTGGGGAATCTGAAGGCTTTTTCTTCTAAAGATGAGTTGGGGAGAGGGTTAGAAGAGTGCTGAGAAGTTATGCCTGTTTCTTCTTTCTTTTCCTTTCCCCCTCTGGGGCTGAGAGACCAGATTTTTTTCTTTTTTTTTTACAGTACATTTTGGCAGGCCCCATTTTTTTTCTGACAGAAAAAAAAAATAACAGGCATATTTTGGGCGATTACTCAACTGGGGTCCTTTGTGACAGGATATGCAGCTGCGTGACTAATGGAGCTGGCTTTCTCCTGGTTTCCTTCCCCTTTCAGAGCTCTTGTTTACTGCCCTATACAGAAAAAAAAAAGCCATAAGTTACAGATTTTTATAAAAAAAAAAATGCCTTGTGAGATACTCAAAGGCAATAAATCCTCTGGATAGTCCATTTCCAGGGCTGCAAACTCCCCACCCTCTCCCACTTTTTCTTTTCAAATGTTCAAGCTCTTGACTCACAACATGTGAATCTTCTCCCACCCCCACGTCCCTGCTTTCTTCTGAACATATGTCCAGCAGATCGGCTGTGTGTTTGTGTGTGTGTGTGTGTGTGTGTGTGTGTGTGTGTGTGTATGGGGGGGAGGGTGTAAGATGGAAACCATATTTTTACTGCTTAACTCAGCAATTGCTAAAGGAAAAAATAATGACTTCCAGGGGCCTCGGGACATTTTTTTCCCAAGGCCTTTGTGTTTCCATAATCTATGACAATTTTGTGGTGTAAGCAAAAGTTATTAGGAAACATGGAATGAGCTTAATGGGGAAGGGTACGTTCTTCATGGGGAGGGACAGTCTCTTTGTAGAGGAAATCCAGATTTGGCTGGCTTTGGATTTCAGAATCCTTGGACTTCCCGTAGAAGTTTTGGAAGAAACTCTCTGACTTATAGTGTTTGACAACTGGAACTAGCCTTTCAGTTCAATCGACTTTTTATTTTAAAATATGTCTGGCCTATGGAGGGAAAAGCTGACTAGCAGGTTGGGTTTGGTAGAGACAGCTTGGTGTAGATGAGGTGCTAGATTTGTGGTTGAGGGATGGATCAAGCCTAAGTGTGATCTGGGGCAAGTCACTTAATGTAAGTCTCAGTGGCTTCTATGTTAAAATTAGGAAGAGAGTCCCCTCTCCTCTGGGTTGCTGGTGAAAAGAGTGAGGTGGCAGAATTCCAAGGCATGGGGAGAACTGGACAGACATACACAGTGATCACTCCTAATTCTTCTCCTTCCAAAGGGCCAAGTCAGGCTCTCAATAAAAGGGGAGATTCTCATTCTCTGAGAATTACAGTGCCAAGTGATGAACAGTAGAGAGGTTATTTACATAGGGGCCCAGGTCACAGGTGGGGCTTCCCAGGTGGCTCAGTGGGTAAAGAATCTGTCTGCCAATGCAGGAGATGTAGGAGAAGGGGGTTTGATCCCTCAGTTGGGAAGATCCCCTGGAGTAGGAAATGGCAACATGCTCCAATATTCTTGCCTGGGAAATTCTGTGGACAGAGGAGCCTGACAGGCTACAGTCCATGGGGTTACAAAGAGTGAGACCCCATGGGTGACTGAGCTTACACTCATCAGGTCACAGATATTCCAGGCGTATTTTCCAGGATGGTATTGCCTTCAAGTTTACCCACTCCATGGTTATCTTCCACACA